GAGCATCTTATCATTTTTATTATGAATAAGGGCAATTTTAATCACTTGTAGAGTCTCCACAACACAGGTCAAATCAGCAATAATATTGAGAGGTTGAATCAGGGGAACTGTTGTTTTTTATCAATTATGGTTGTCTTAGAAGTTGAGCTGTAGAATGTTAACAGATAATAGTTAATAAAGGTTTATAGAGAAAAGTCCTACTTACGTTGATTTATAGATAAATAGACACCCATGATATTAACTCAAATCCCTTTTGATTTACATAGCTTAAGAGTGGGCTAATTTAAATCAGTTGCTAAAATAGATAAGCCCTTAAAGCTAGTGAGTCTTCTGGGCATGGTGGCACAGCACTCGGAAGGCCGAGGCAGGAGGATTGCCATGAGTTCAAGGCCAGCTTGGGCTACACAGTGAGTTCAAGGCCAGCGTAGATGACAGTGAGGCCCAGTCTCAAAAAAATAAAATCAATAAATATATAAATAAATAAAGTTGGTGATACACTTCTTTTCAATCAAAATGGTATCAGAATTGGTTTTATAAATAGAATGCCTATTGTTATCTATATGTAATAATTTGAAAGTTTTTTCATTAGTATTCAAGAGATAAACATAAAATGGAACCAAAAATCCTGTAATGTGGGGACAAATTCCTATGATTAAAAATAAAGACACAGTTTCTCAACTCCAGTGTGCCTATCAGCACCACTCATTCAAGAGTATAAACCAAGGCCTCACTTTTTCTGCCTCTGGAGTCCAGTTTGGGTCTGGACAAATAAATTCATTTACTTTGCCATCTTCCACTCAACCATGAAAGTCTATGGCTGTGTGTAATGGATCCTAGGGGAGAGGGAGACACATCCCACCCCATTTTTTAAGTGGCCTATTCTTACCTAGATACTCCATCCATCCAGAAGCTATAGAACACACAAAACTGTTATTTTAAAAGCAGTAAAACTGACACACACAAAAAAATCAGACACTTACAGTGACCAAATAACCTCATGCATGAGCCTAAATAAAATATTAATTTTTAGATACTGCCTTTTTTCCCATTTTTAAAAAATTTTCATTTTATTTATTCTTTTTTTTTTTTTGAACCCAGATATTTTTCTTTGTTTTTTTTTTTTGGTGTTGTTGTTTGGGTTTTGGTTCTTTTGGCACCTGGGACTGAACTCGGGACCTTGCACTTGTGAGGCAGGTGGTGGAACCACTGAGCTAAATCTGTGGCCCAGCAGCCAGATGTTTTTTAAAGACATTGTAAATATTGTTTACATTATTTTTCCTTAAAATTCGATCCAGATGGTAGGCAAAGCAGGAGAACTGAAAGTAAAAGAACAAAGTGAGAAACAAACGAAATGTCTCCACTCACTCAGCAGCTGGACAGTGAAAAGCCCTCTGGGTTGATGGACCTCCCATAGGCTATTCCACAGCTGCCTGTGTTCCCTCACCGGGATGAAGAGTCAGACTCGTCCATGTTCCTTGTCCAGACTTGGGTGGTCTGTCCTCTATGCTGATCTGCAGCAACATGCTTTTCCTCATTCGTGGGCACCACTTGTCACAGTGAGCTACCCCAGGCAGCATAGAGAATGAAAAAGATTACTGGGAGGGCCAGGGATTTAACACAGTGGTTCCAGTGCCTGCCTCATAAGCACAAGGTCCTGAGTTCGATCCCGGTACAAAAAAAAAAAAAAAAGATTAGTGGGAGAAGAGATTTAGTTTTAGTTCAATCACCAAGAGGCCCAGAGGGGCTCTTTCTCAACTGAGAGCACCCAGCCATTAGGGAGACTCTGGGAGAAGAAAATGCCACCAAGCTGAGAACTCTCTGGTTTTTATTCAGAATCTCAGTGCAAGAGAAAAAAGCAGGAGAAAAGCATTCTGGAGCCAGAGCTGTCTCAAGGCTAGGCAGTTTTTCTTGGGGAAGGGGAAAGACATGTCCAAACACAACATGCTTCACTGATCTAAACTTGCTGTTGTTTAACCATTCACTCCTCACAGAGCCTGTGTGCTTTTGCCCTGCAGCCAAATCATTTAGTTTAACCATTCACTCCTGGCCAGGTCCCCTACTTTCCCAGACACATAGAATCAGGAACAGGTAGGGTCCTGTGCCAGTCTGGTCAAACACTACAAATCAGGATGCTTTACTTTCCACAGGAGACCATTGTTAAACACCGACACACCAGCCCAGCTCCTGTGTTTCAATAAGCCTGGGGTGGTTTGGGAAGGAAGTTCCAGGTGGAGACCCACCCCCAGCATTGCAGCTGGGTGCTTTATTCCGATTCTGTACATGTCCTCAAATCACAATCCTAACCAGTGTCCTACACATAATGGGACAACAGACTCCCTCTGCACCCCACTCCTCACCTCCACCCCTGCCCTAACCCCCCTCACTGCCGGAGAGTATCACTAGTGATGTGAAGGAGGCACAGGGTCAGTGCCGCTGAGGATCAGTGCTAGGGACCCCTTGCAGTGGGAAGGGAACCTTGGGATTCACCTGCAGACAAGGTGAGCAGCATATCCCAAAGCCACAGCCTGGCTCTCCACAGTGGCATCTTGCAAGCTAAGAAAGTGAGTGGCTGTGGTCACCCATGTGGGAAGCCCCTTGGGATACAGGGCTCCAGCCTCGGGCCAGGTCCACATCCCAGCTCACCCTCATCCTCATGTTGCTTCTCCCACATACATCGCTAACCCTGGAAGACGGCACCAGTAGGACCCACCCCATGGGCCCCTAGATGAAATCCAGTAATTTAAGCTAAAGGCGAGGGCTGTAGCACCAGTTCCATAAAGAGAAGCTATTTCTGCTTTTCCACTCAGCTGGAGGGAAAGTAATGTCCACATTAATATTGTTATTCGCATTTTATGGATGACAGATACTAAGGCATAAAAAAAGAGATAAGAAAAAACTACTCAGAATTACTTGGAGACTCGGCTTCTGATACAATGAATACCCAGGACACATCCTGTTAATCAGTGATGGTTTTACCCAGTACCCCTAGAAGCTGGTTCCCTCATCCTAGGGCCAGGTCCTCATTTATTCCCAGTAGCTCCAGATTCCCCAGCAAGCAGGGAACAGTTAATTTGGTTACAGTGATTACCAGCTGGTTCTCTGGTTTATGACCATAACCCCTCTAATGCGACATCTGTGGGGAGAGGCATCATTCTGTCTTCCCATTACCTAAATGGCATTTCCAAGTGTCCCTGAAATTCAGGGGCCAGCAGTCATGAGGGAGGTTCCCATTGCAGCCAGGATCTCCCTGAGGGAGGCTGGCTCAGCTGCAGTTCCACGGCTTGGCCCCTCTGTGTTGTTTTCTGTCCTGTGAAGCTGGAATCATAATGTACTTTGAGGAACTATGGGAAGCTTTGCATGGATTACTTCTTGCCTGAAAGAGGAGTGCTCTGTGGCCAGGTATGGGGTGCAGACATAGGGGTGCTGTCCACCCAACATGTGAGGACCAACACGATGACAGTAGAGATTGACTTAGCCACTGTTCCAGCGTTCTGGCTTGTGAGGGCCAAGGACTTCCCAGTGCTCACCACAGCCAATACCAAAGTGCTGCCACGATTCCTGTCTCCTAGGAAAGGAAACAGGGGAACAGAGTTTAAGCAATCTACCTGTGGTTGAGCCAGGACTTCAAGCCAGGAAGCTAACTTCAAGAATGAGCTTTTTGCCAGGGATTTAGCTCAGTGGTTCCACCGCCTGCCTCACAGGCACAAGGACCTGAGTTCGATCCCTAGTACCAAAAAGAAAGAAAGAAAGAAAGAAAGAAAGAAAGAAAGAAAGAAAGAAAGAAAGAAAGAAAGAAAGAAAAGAATAGAATGGGCTTTTCAGTGGCTTCCTATGGAGAGGACCAAAAAGACTTACATGGTCTGAGCTGAGCAAAATTGAGCTTGGAGGAAAGGAAGGAAGTCTTCAGCAGAGATCAAAGTCACTGACATGCAGAAGGACAAAGGAGGCCTCCTGCATGCCACATGATAGGACACACCCTGAAATGGATCTGGTCAGCCCTCAGAATACTCGGGCTCCACATCAAGGGTTCATCCAGCCTCAGGTTGAAAATATTCCAAACAGAACTTGTGTCTGCACCAAACCTGTACAGATTTGTCATTATGTCCTGCAACAATAGTAGTCTGGTAACTGTTTATATAGCAGCTACATTGCATTAGGTATTATAACTCAGCTGGGATGATTTCAAGACTATAGGAGGATGTATGTGTTATATGCAATTTTATGAGAAATGCCATTTTAGAGAAGAAATTCTTGGATTTGGGTGTCTTTGGGGCATCCTAGAACCAGTCTCCCCAGGATACTGAGGATGACAGTACTCACTTATATGAGGGAGGTGGCACTGTCTCTCTGTGTGCATGGTAGCTGACTCCCTTTTTATAGGTAAGGAAATGAGACCTTGGGCTGGGGATGTAGCTCAGTGGTAGAGGATCATGTAGCATGCACAAGGCCCTGGGTCCCATCCCATCACCACACTAAATAAATAAATAAGCTTTCATTAAACACATAGATACAATCAAGACAAGAAAAGAAAGCTCATCCTACCAGGACCTGCAGTATTGGACTTACAGATCCACCGCATTGTCCTCAGTCACCCAGGAGCCTCACCCCGAGATGCAGGCTTCCTGTCCTTGCCATCTAAAGCTACAGCCCTACTGTCCCAGAAAGACTGAAGATGGGTGCCTATTGTGGGGTGATGGGTCATAGCCCCGGGCCTGCCTCTCCTTGCCTTACCCAGGCAGTACTGGCCCCGCAGTGGACAGAGTTCTTCCAGTGGTGGGTATTGTCACAGGGCCCTCCCTACCTGGCATGGAGCCTCTTCTGTGCCTGGTCCTCTGCCATGGAGAGGAGACCACACTTCCTCCCAGGACCTGAACTGTCCTCCCAGGACCTGGTTGGCTGGGCCCCTCACCCCAAGGCCAAAGCTGTCCTCTCCCTGGGGGCTGAAGAGAGGACCCTTTCCCCAGCAGCTTGTTTCCTGTTTGTATTTGTCTCCATTTTAGGGATTTATTTCTCTACAAGGGACTCAAGTGACTGAACTTCTTCCTGGCCCCGAGGATCCAGGAAAGCACCTCTTCGAGATCAGCCCAGGTAGGACTGAGCATCTTTCAGTGGCCCCGAGAGGGTGTCAGAGGGTGTTGCCACAGCCCTGCCTGGGGAGGGCAGATCCCAGGAGACTCGTCCTTGCGGGAACACTAGCATGGTCTCCACAGATGACCCGAAAGTGGGGGACCAATCTAGAGGGCATTGCACACTGGGAAGAAATCCAAGTGGTTATCTGAATTGTTTAATTCATGATAAATGCAAGGGAAGAAATTGGTCAACCAGGACATCTGAGGGAGACAGTGCTATCCTGTTAACAGTTACAAAATAGTTTTCACAGCTCCATGTTTTCCACTGTGGTTGTTGCTGAACTAAGTAAAAATGACTGCCAGGTGAGCACATCTGTTCACTGTGGGGCTGGGTTTTGCAGCCCAGCAGGATCTGATTTAGCTTGGCTTCCACCAGACACTGAGCCCAGGACAAGGATCTGAGCAGTTTATTCTGGAGCTGGCCCCAAGGAGTAAGGCAAAGGTGCAGGGAAGGAGGCTGGAGAAGGGAGGGAGCCAGCCAGGTGTGCTAGTGACAGATGGCTGTGGCCCAGGTGATATCTGAGATGGTGCAGAGCCGGCCTTAGGGGTGTCTCGCGGGAGGGGCGGGGACTGGAGACACACACACCAACACCACCAGCCAGCCAGCCAGAGCTGCGCCCTGCAGAGTTTACCCAGACCCTAATCGTTCCTGGCCTGCCCTCATGGACCATGCCGGCAGACAGAGAAGGCCCATGGTGACAGTCACAGGGAAGAGGCCACCAGCGTGACAGGAAGAGTGAGTGTCCAGGAGTCAGGCAGGGAGGGCACTTCCTTCTGAGAAAACATGAGGTGCAGCGCCTCCCTGGATATCTGTGAGCCAGTGAGCAGCCACCCCTGATGAAATGGTCCGGCGAGGGGTGGACCCACCCAGGCTCAGGCCAGCAAGCCAAGGCCCTAGGGAGCAGGAAGGAGCAAGCCAAGCCTGGGGCCAGGGTGTGGCTTCCTTTCCTGGCCTATGATAGGAATCCCGGGAGGCTGGGCTGAGGTGCTAGAAGACACTTCCCAACCTCAGGCTTCCTGTGTGACGCCCACGTACCTGGGGCTTCCGTGGACTCCTTTGATCTGTGCAGGGATCTTGGTACTAAACTGCATGTTAGAAGCATGCGCAAGGATCCCAGGGTGAAGGAGATGGAGGCTTGGTGATTGGAGCAGCAGTAAGGTTGCTGCAGTGAAGCCAGAGAGGAATGAAAAACAGGGAGCCAAGGATCTGGGGTGCAGCCCTGGCCTGGGGAGTGGCGAGGGGCAAGGCCGAAGCCAAAAGTGGGGTTTGAAAGTTAGACAGGTTCGAGTGTGTGCCCTACAGGCTGTCAGGGACGTCGTCTGTGTCTCCGCCATGCTCTGGCATCTGAGGCAGAGCTGTTTATAAGGGTTCCTGTGACCAGGGAGAGGGCGCATCTTTTGTCTCACGAGGTGGCATTACAAGGTTCCAAGGCTAGGAGGTGGGCGTCTGTGTGGGCCACTATTCTGCCAGCCACAGTGCTCAAAGAAATGGGATTTTTTTAAATGTCTATTTTACAAAAACGGGCACTGGGGATAAGAAAGAAAAAGCACCTTGCTTGGTGACACACCACTAGATGGTCATGGTGCTGGGGCTGGAACTGAGTGCTCTTTCCGTTTCTGTAACTGAATCCCACAGACTGAGTGATTTATAAAGAACAAAGTCTATTCCACTCACAGTCCTCGAGTGGGAGGCCCCAGGTCCAGGGGCCATGTCCCCTGAGGATCTTCTTGCTGGTGAGGACCCTGCAGAGACCTAGAGCAGTGCAGGGGTCACAGGGTGGAAGGGTGAATACCCCAGTCTGAGGCTGCTTAAACAGACCTGCTCTCACAGTGACCCAAAATCCTCTCACACCTCACAGTGTGGGTGAGGACATGCACACCACAGGCTGCCTGGCGTCCCAAGCCGTGCTCCCAGGCTGCATCCAGTGCAGGCTTCCCTGAAGCTCCTTAGGGGCCCCCACACACTTCCGACCTGGCTGCAAGGTCCAGAGAAAGAAGGTTCCAGCCCCTTCTCCCAAGCACAGCAATCATGGCCTGGCTGAGCGGCACCTTCATGCAGGTCCTCAAAGCTGTCTTTGAACACTCAGCCACTGCTGGAGTGGCTCAGGGAAACTGGGGCAGGGGCAGGTGGGAGAGGCAAGGATCACCTCTGCAGAGTGCTGTGCATCTGTCTGCAAAGCAGGATGCCACACCAGTGTGCCCCGGGCCTTGGAGGAACTCTCTTCCCTCTTCCCTCCAGGGGCGCTGGATTCTGGGGCCTCCCATCAGCCTGGTCTGATGGGATCTGGGGTGCTTGTTCCTGTGGCTTGTGCTGGGTTCAGGCTGCAGCTGGCAGAGCTCCCTCTTTCACAGCCCATGAAAATGTGGCAACCCAGATAGGTTAAATGGACCTCCTGAGGTCAGACAGCTGGCAGGTAGGGGAACCTGGCCCTCCCAGGTCACCCTGTCCCCAGGTGCTGGGCTTTCTGTCACCACCACGCCTGCAGCTGTGGGCCTTGTTGGGGCTGAAAATTAACAACAGCAACACTAATGATAAGATTCGCACAATCCTACCTTAAATCACAGCAGTATCCCACTTGGTCCCCTAGTGTGGCCCTAGGCTAAAGCCAGCCTCCAGGGGCGCTGAGATGGCAGGGCAGACTCTATCCTTAAAGAATCAGACATTTTTTTCCTGAGCCACAGGCATGGTGAGCAGATTAGGCATTAGGTTGACGACAATTAGCTGGGGCAGAAGCAGGCTGGGTACCTATGCTGAGTGCATGAGTGCAGTCCCCTGGGAGCAAGCCCAGGCAAAGAGGAACCAGGGACTGTGGCTAGGGAGAGGGTAGTGCAGCTAGGAGACCCTCGGGGCTCCCTGCACAATTCTGAGGGTGCCTGAGTGGTGGGCACTGGGCACAGAGAACTAAAGAGAGGAAGAAGCCTAGCAGTGAAGCCCATGGACCGGCCCAGGGCCTGGGTCAGGAACCAGACAGGAGAAGGGAGGAAGTGAACTCGACTGCGCTCACTAGGCAGTGTTCAGCAGGCAGAGGCCAGGCAGGGCATGAGACAGTCCCTCACTCCCCACCCAACTCCTCCCCAAAAGAGGGATATTTTCATCATACAGCAAACCAGCTACATTCATTTTAAGTTTTAAGTCATAGTTCTTTTTGAGCTCTTCAACCATATAAAACTTAACCATTTTTCAAGATAATTAAAATTAAAAATGTAAGAAAACATGGTGTGACTGCCATCTAGTGGACGGACCTGCCAATTCTACAACTGACTTTTGTGCCTTCTGCCCACTGCTGACCCCTTCAGCCGACCACACCTCTGACTCCAAAGCGTCTAAGTCACAAGGACCACCAGTACTAGAGCAGCTTCTCCTCTTGACCTGAGCTGCAGCCACGGAGCCACCTCACAATCAGATGCAAGAGCCCAGAGTAGTGGGAGGCGCTGCTGTGGGCAGAGGCGAAGTGCGCTCCCTGATGTCATGGAAGCACGCAGCAGTGCCCCCATACAGTTAGGGAACCCAGATAAAAGTGGTGACCAGCATTTGAGTCTTGCATGGACAATCACTTACTCACAAGATTTGCTTTTCATGGTTATCAGACAGGGAAAGTCAATTTAAGACCCATGCCAAATAGGGTTTTGCCAGGCAGTGGTGGGAGCAGTCACACACTTGGCCCCAAAGGTCAATCTCTGGAGTGGAGCAGAATGTGGGCTTCCCTGGGACTGTGGCTGAGAGCTGAGGGAGAAGGTGACATGGGACCACGTGCTTGCCGGAATTCTCCCGGGGCAAAGAGGAAGATGACACAGCCAGGACTCAGCTGGGACTGGGACCGGAACTCAGAGGACTACCCATGCCCAGAGGAGCTGGTAGGGAGGGGACTCCAGCAGCCTGGCCTCTGCTCACACTGCCACCAGCCAGTGAGGGTGCTGTATCCTTGCCCCGGGGAGCAAAGGAGGACTTGCTTCCCCCTGCCTGTTTCCCACACCAGGAGAAGGACTGGCAGAAGCGGCCTCCGTCACACCCCACCACTTCTCCAGCTCCAGAAAGAGCTTTGAACCAGAAGTGTGGGAGTGGGATCCGAAGTGAACCCAGAAGGATAAGCACATGGTGGACACTGGAAGAGAGTGGTAAGGAGGGAACATCAGGGACAGTCCTGAGGAATGGCTCTTCATGTTTACTCTTTGTACGTTGTTCTAGGACAGGTTAGCTGCTCTAAAAATCCCTCATCTCACATCTTGACACAGTAGGACGTATTCTTGTATATAAAGCCAAAAAACTAATGCTCCTGATGGCAGCAGCTTCCCATCCTATGCGTCCTTCATAGCCACAGGTTGGAGTAGACAGTGGTTTCAAACTTTCCCAAGCCTTAGGGTGGCCCAGGGGGATTGTTGAAAGCCAGCTCAGCTGAGTCCATACTGGAGCGGAGGTGGAGAGACTGAGACTTGGCCGCTCAGGGGTGAGGAGAGACTCGTAGGGGCAGTAGGGCAATGCCGTCACCGTGCTTTGCTAACAGGGATGATCATCTTTTTATTGGTGCATGTTTGCCATATATAATGATTATATTCATCATAAAGAATTTGTACCTGTGTATATCTTAATTCTTTTTGTCCCATTCCGCTTCCCTCCCTTCAACCCTTCTTATCCTCCCTGTTCACAAAAGTTTCATTCTCATTTTTTGCCTTCCATTTTCTCCCTTTCCCTCTCTCTCTCTCTCTCTCTTTCTCTCTCTCTCTTCCCCACCCTTTCCTTCCCTTCCCTTCCCCCACCCCTTCCTTCTTCTGTTTCCCATATGGACACTCTCTTCCTACTTCCCAATGTCTGTTCTCCATTTTGCTCCTCATTTACCTTTTGGGTATCATACAAAAGAAAAAATGCAATATTTAAACTTGTGTGCTCAATTTATTTTACTTGAAAGTATGGTTTTGGGGGCCGAGGATTTAGCTCAGTGGTTTCGCCATCTGCTGCGCAAG